AATTCTCCTCTAATTGAAAAAATTAGTAAGATGTAATTTTTCTTTCACTCTTGCGTTAGGTTGTAAAAATAATACAATTTATAAAATCCACATTATTTATCTATGGGAGAATATTGATTGATTGATTCGATTTCTATGGCTTATCAACACATTGCAGTTTATTTAAAGCGAGAAATATATTTAGATGGTAGGATTTTTAAAGATAATGATGGTCTAGTGATACAAGTCTTACTAATTAACCCATAGCCGGGGGAAGAGGTGGATTCAAACTTCGCGCCTAAGTGAATATAACGAACCCAACATGAATTGGAACACGGCTCTCCGATTAATAATTCCGAGCTATCACCCATTACACCATATGCACATCTAAGATTACAGCACCCAGTATTCTCAAGTGGTCACCCATCTAAGTATTGACCAGGCTCGGTGTTACTTAACATCGGTGATCGTATGGGACCTGATGTTTTAACTTGATGTAAGCTATGGAAGAATCGGATATCTAAATGTCCTTTATATATAATTTGATTCATTTTTGTGCCATTTTGTCATCGGTTTACCTATATTGTCTGTCTGTCTGTATAGATAGATAGATAGATAGATAGATAGATAGATAGATAGATATAAAGCCCAACATAGATAGATAGATAGATAGATAGATAGATAGATAGATAGATGTTTAAATAGGAAAAGCTATGTTCATGAACACGCACCAACACTTAGAGGATTAAACAATAAGTCTGTAGAAGTTGTCATTTTAATTTTTACTGTATAATATTTGAGCTATGTGATTAAAATTCCGCAGCGTATTAAGTGCATTGACAAGGAAGGAGTTCATATTGAAAAATTTTTTCCTCATCAAGTAAGATTTCACTACAGAGCAGACTCCGAATTTTCTCCAGTCATGATAAATGATTGTACTCTCAATGAAGCTCCTTGCCTTGAACGTCAATTGGGACTGAAGCTTACCCCCAACCTCAAGTAGATCTCTTATATATGATCTATCGCTCTAGATGCTGGAGAAATGGTCGGTTAATTGTACAGCTCAAGAAGGTACGAGAAACCTTCTGCCATCCTCTGTCTTTACAAGAGCCGGATCAGACAAAAAAATATTGTCGCCACATCTGGGCTGAAGCAGTTCCATCTGTAGACTTAACAAAGTTTAAAAGCGTCTACGCGAACTTTTATTATTTTCTACCCTACAACCACTTTCCCACAGACGAAAAGTTGCTAGACCCTCGCTACTCTATCGCATCGATATTAGACGTTCAGACGAGCTGCGTTTCTTAGTTTCACTAGCCTCGACCTTCACGGCTAGGACCCATCATGCAACATACATAGAGTTGAATCATCACTTCGTATTCCATTAGTAAGAAAGAACTTCCATTCACACAACTTCTTTTCAAGAGTCGCTACATTGTGGAACAGACTCCCGATAGAATGTTTCCTCAATCATCATAATCTTAACCTCATCAAAGTCTATAGTCAACCGTTATATGTCCTACATATCTTCATAATTCGTACTCCCTTTTTGTACACTTTTACAACAACCTCATTCAGCCCAACTCTATCTTGAGTGACACTTGGGCCTTGTATTAAGTGAACAATAGTATAAAAATATTCTTTTACGACTTAAATCACAATTTTTTTAATTTCATTTACAAACACAAATTTGAAAAATGACCTTTTCTCAAAAATTTGTGTATTTTCTGCAAAATTCAGACTGATATTTGAGGTTACTTTCAGAAATGTTTTTTTCTTTAAGAACATATGAAAAGATAGGATATCACAAGGACTTCATTCTATCGACGATTCCAATAAAGAATTATTTTCTTTTCATCTCTTTCAGATTTGCAGTTTTAGGATAAATTATTTTTTGTGTAAAATTTTCATGAATAACGATGAAATATTTTGTCATGGCGCAAAAATCTTTACTCATTCAACTGTTGTTCGACCAAGAAGCTAAATAGATTAATTATTTCTTTTCCAATCTCATCAAAAGTTTCCAAGTTTGTGATATGAGTGCAAAAAAATGTACATATCTAAGAATCAATGAAGACAAATTTTCGATAAGCATCCACATTTCTGCTGCCCACCCAAAATATGCGACAGACATTTCTCATTTTCAAGGCAAAATTTTTGCTTCCTACAACTTCCCTGGTTGGTTCCATGTATAAATAGCACACGTTTTGGTAGAGCATCTCTTATCACGAAAGGAGAATAAAGAAAGGATGACATGATCTCGCCATAAAACGAAGAGGCTTAGTTCGAAATGATATATGAGAGAGTGTTATCAGTCCATCAGGTTACATGGAAATCTTTTTATAAATAGTCTGTTAAGAGACTTACAGGTAAGCAAAAGAACGCCTTTCTCATCCCCGACCCTCATAAAGTCCCTGTAGACCCTTACATTCGTCTAAACATGTTTTCTGTCTTATATATATATATATATATATATATATATATAATTTTTTCTATCCTATATACATATATATATATTTTTCTATCCTAATATATATATATATATATATATATATATATATATATATATAAAAAAACAATATGCATGCGCAAAATTAAAAATATAAAATGATAAATTGTCGCCATTTTATATTTTTAATTTTGCGCATGCGCGTTGTTTGTTTTTTATTTTGTCGACTGCACCGTATGGTAGAGACAGTTGGGCACCGTCTGTGAGAAAAAGTCACCATGACGCAATTCACTCCGCCAGAAATTTGGAAACGAAATACTGTATTACTTGCCATTCGCACCGGAACCTCCAATACGAACATTTCAGAGTGTTTGTATGTTAAGCTGAGGACAGTGCAGAGGAGTTAGAAGTAGAAGGGTGAGTCTAATGGTGATTACGAAATTGTTTGGCGTGATCACTAGTGATGCTGACGTTATGCCTCCATTCATCTTCCCACAGGGCCTCAGACTCAACACGCATGTTTACAACAAATGTCTTGAGGTGGCAGTGCTACCCTTGGCTAAAGAAGGCAGCAGCTAGACGATCCTATGTCAGGCAACGGGACTCTGCACCATACCACACAAACAGGAGAAACCAGTCATGGCTGAGAGCCAATTTTTGCGACCACATCACCTCTTACATCTAACCACCTAACTTCCCAGACTGCAAATCCCCTTGGTTTTTGTTTGGGGCGCAGTTGACCAACAATACTCCTTGTAATTCCAAAGATGAACTGAAGGCAAGAATTATGGCAGCATTCACTAACTTAAACAAGGAAACAGTCCAGAAGAGGTGCAGGCGATCTGGAAGTCGTCTGGAGGCTGTTGTTGAATGGGGATTTTATTCAATAAATTTATTGTTTATTATTTCAAGATATTTATGCATAATTTTGGTAAATATATCTGTTAAAACGAGATGCTAGTGTTATTTTTATTTTTGTGTAATTCAGACGACAATTTATCCATCGCATCCTGCATATATATATATATATATATATATATATATATGTGTATATATATGTGTGTGTGTGTGTGTGTGTGTGTGTATGATACTTAGATAGAGATCTGAAATATAATGTTATTAGCATTAATGTCACCTTTCTTGCCAGAGTCAGTGACCTACCTCATATAAGTGTTCTCTATAAATGTTTTAATTTTTGTTTTTAAAAGTGCTTTGCTTGAATAAATGGTTTGATGTAAAATCGTACTTTTCCTACTGAGATAATTTTGTTTTCTCGATTTGCCCACTGTGTCTTTAGAGAAAAATAAGAAATCCTAATCGTTTCTCCATCACCATTCTGTTGTTTTAACCACGTGCTAAACATGCAAGTATTGTGACTGAAGTTGTTATCGTGCAATATTATAGAGCAATGTCTTAATTTCGCGTGTTAAGAATATACGTTGGATTATACTATCACCACATATTGTCTATATGACGAACCATATTGAAGTGAGAAGGATACATATTATTCCCAAAGAGATGAGATTTTGATATTAACCATGGATTCGTGTTGGAGAGTGAAATAAGATGCCGGTTTATCTGCTGGATTCAGAAGCCTAGTTAGTGTGGATTTCAATACCAAGTGGTTTTCTTTGTTTTGACGAATTTAACAAAGATTATAAATATCTATTTCCTCTTTCCCAATTAGTATGAACTACGATTGAGTGGTCATGTGACGCTTAACGTCCAATCAGAGAAGTCCAGACTGTACAGAGAGCAGATTTCTTTTCTAACATGACATGTCAGCCTTGTGAGTAAAGACAGCTTTTTAAAACCCATTAGATTTCCTTTTTAGAGTCGGAGAGAAGGCATGTAACACATTTCTACACTTTGTTAGCATTTTACCTTTCTAAATAATTAAAACTTCATTTATATTTTTCCGACTTCTCTCTAATCGTTTTTAAAAGATTTTTTTTATAAAGCTTTGGATTAATATCTGTACTTAAGGAAGATTATACTAAGGCTGCCCACAATATCCTACAATAATTTATATTTTACGAACATATGATTTCTTTTCATCTATTATGATTTCTCATGAGCAAAACTATAAACTCGAAAGAAGGACATTAAAATTATCGGCATGACTCACAACCCAAAATCTAACCTGTGTGTATATGTGTGTGTGTGTGTATGTGTGCGTGTGCGTGTGTGTGTGGCTGTAAATATTAACTATAGTTTCATCTTTTCGATCTTCAGGCTGATTTCGATATTTTATATCTTGACACTTTGTATTTTAACATAACTGGCCCTAGTACCACTTGCAAAAAATTGCATATATGTTTTTTCTTGTTTTATTAAATAAGCATTTTGGATAAATTCTGTTTTTCGACTGTTTTATTTCATTTATTTTTTAAGCGAACTCAGTCCACGCCAGGGTTGATGAAACAGACGACCGGTGTTGTTGTCTGCCGAAATATGAGGTGATTTTGGATTTTATTGTTTATTAATTACATTGCTCTGTAATAATAAAGAAATTGAGCTCTTTTGTGGATCAGTTGTAATATTTTATATTACTAGGATCCACTTGGATTATATACCAACGGATTTGTTACCTCTATTTTATATATATATATATATATATATATATATATATATATATATATATATATATATTGAACAAAAAAAAATTTTAAAAAATTAAAATCTTCAGATACACTGGGTTGTAGATTAATATTCTTTCGTTTTTTTTTATTATTATTTCATTTAGATTCCTCGATTAGTTTCGGCCAAAATGGCCATCATCGGGAGAAGAAATATTTCTGCTTGTTGGTAGCAGTAAACTACAGAAATGAATCTTTTGCTGGAGAAAATGAACTTTTGTCTGTAGTTTCCATTTTTTTTTTTTTTTAATTTTTAGCATGAATTTTTATTTTATATATTGTTATTTGAAATATAGGTATATATATATATATTTGATATATATATATATATATATATATATATATATATATATATATATACACATATATATCCACGTTATGTGTGAGTGATTTAATGGGTAACAGTTCGGGTTGAGAATTCCATCAGTATGTGTTGCATACACTTTCGCGCAAATAACCCTGGGAAATATATGAATACATCTCCCCAAGCTATGGGTTAAATATTTGAATTTGTATCTGGAAAAGTTATTGTTATTCACGAAAATTGTGTCATGAATGGAATCATCCATTTATGTACATAAGCGGAGTTGAAGAGAGTAGACAGGTTAATTGCTAAGTGTAACTTCTGTTTCATTACTTACCTACAAGTTTGTTTTCCTTCTTTATTTCCTCCTGTTATCTCAAAAACACAAGATACAAGAAATTGTTAATGTAATATTCACTTCCTCCAAAAATAAGGAAATATTCATACAATCAAAAATATGCTACGTCTTTAAATAACCTCAAAAAGGTTGATAAGCCGTAAAAGACATATCAATTAATCAATATCCAAATAATTTTTTAAAATCCTGTCGGTCGGCTTTGTTTTTTCAAAGATATACAGTCTAGCAAGATACAGGCATTAGCCTCCCCCAAGGACTAGAAAAAACATTCATGTGACCTTGTGCCGGACTATGTGTTTCGTATCTGTCTATTTAGAAGTATCATTGGCATTTATTCTGTTCAAAGGCTTGAACCTTATTCCTTCAATCCACGAATCTATAAAACTCGTACTGTGCCATTCTGGGGACACACAGACATGCAAATAAGCTTGCGTTGCTGGCGTACAAATTCCATCCGCTGAAATCATCAGATAAAAAAAAAGACGGTTTCTTTTTTCTATTTTATTTATTTTAGATAAGAAGTTTTCTGAATTCAAGAGATATTTTTTTCGATCATTATCCTGTCTGTTTATTTTGTCGGATGCGAATACTGAGAAGAAATTATATTTACCCGTTATTTTGTTTTTCTCTTCATCTTGTCATTTTTAATCTTTTTTTTAAAATTTCCTTCTCTTTCTTTTTTCTTTTTTTCTCTTCTTTTTTTCTTTCTTTTTTCTTTCTCTTCATTTTTTTTTCGATTCTTTTGTTTCCATAACACACAAACTCGTGCATCTTTACTTCTAGACATTCATTTAGTGGCAAATATAAAAGACAATTTGGAGTACTTCTACTTTGACATGTTTCGCAGATCAACTGGCGCCACCAGAAAAAAAAATTCTCTCATGGTGCCGCTTGGAAATATATGCCAAAATAGAATTTGGTTTAAACTGTAGAATGGTTAGATTAACAGAAGAAATACCGGATATGAATATTTCAGGAACTATTAACAAAATCGTCACAGAGTTTCGTGGCTAACGAATAAATGAAAATCTTTGGGATGAAGGATTTGATCTTAAACCTATACACACTAAATTAAACTTGACATGTTTTTTTATAATAGACAAATTTCCTTTTTTTTTTCATTTCACCAAGAAAGCGGGAATGCCACTGGTACGATTAAGACTGGCGGATCGAGGAAAGGAGAAAACGATGTACAGGAAAAAAAAATGAAAATAGTTATCAGTAAAACATGGTGCTGTCGGAGGGAAGTGACGCTTGCTTTAGTTAAACATTAAAAAGATGGCAATCAAAAAATTCATGTAAGACACTTTTAAATTTTTTTTTTTCAGGCAGCTTTAAAAAAAAATGTAGAAAAAAACAGAGGAAGCTGCATCATGTCGGTGAGAAAATGAGATTGAAGTCAGAAAATTAAAATCTCGAAATACCGAAGCGGGAACAGATTAATAGATCGAGATTGAATGATTTTTGAACAAAGTTAAAGAAACAACTCAAATACTAATGACTGGATATTAAATGAATTATTCGAACTATTGAATCTTTGTCGCCATTAACAAAAATGTTCTAGTTCACAATGTCAGTTATCTTCTGTTAATTCCCTCTTGGAGATTAACGAATTAAATGGCAAAATGAATAAATAAAGGGTTCAGTTCGACATTCCAACCACCTGAAGATGGCGAAACGTTGTAATAAATATGGCGACAAAGATGAGGAAATAGTCCGAATAATGTAAATAATACATAATATCACATCTCAGAAATATAGACAGATACTAAATTTCGAATATCAAGTTGTTAAGGCTAGTTACACTTCCATTGATGAACGAGAAATAAAACAGTTCAATTGAATCATGAAAAATAATTTTCTAACAGTAATCGATGCATTTTTTAAATTATAAAATTCAGTTATATGATTCAGTAAATGTTTGAAATCTTTGCAAATTTGAAAAGCGAACAAAATTTTGTTTTCTATGGTGTTGTCAATGGATGGCACCATGAATATGTCTAGATGGAACATTTTGATGAATTCCGCAGCAAATATTTTCGTTGTCTCAGATGTATTTATTTTTATATCGCCATTATTATTTCGACATAATCCTAATTGGCGAATTGTAATATTAACGTCCTCGTTGTTCTTTGGTCGTAATAAGTAGTAAAGAACTTAGTGTTACTTGAACAGTAACTCCAGTTTACGATGGGTCTCACCAACAACCCCCATCCATTTTGATTGTTTACTCTGAAATAAGTGGCAGGTTAAGAATACCAAATATTGTCAGTGTATTCTTTCGTTCTTACTTTTTACTCGATTTGATCAGAAAATGTTCCTCGTGGATCAATTCTAATATTAGTATAGAAGTTTGATGTAATGTTCAAAAGAGAAAACAGTTATCCTGTAAGTTTTATTTAATTTATTTATAATGGAAATAGAAAGTTTGTCAAAACTCAATCTTATCAAAGGATCTTTTATCTTTATATTTTAAAAGCAGCTTGTAAGTATATTTTAAAGCTTAACTGAAAACAGCACATCCGTTGGAGTAAGTCAGAAACACAGTAAAAAGTTACGTACAAAAATCGTATTAATTTGAAGAATTAAATTGAAATGTGAGCTATTCAATGTGTTTTTTTTTTTGTTTTTTTTATCTGATAGTTTTATTATGCGCAAACACGATGAAAATCATACGGGAGTAAATATTTGTTACAATTCCATATTTAGCTGTCTATCGCCTACAAAATTACTTATGATAAAGAGAAAAATGGACGAAAGTGATGAAGAATTATTTGGGATTATCAGATGTTTGATCATAGAAATCTAGTTATACAATGACTAATTTTTTCACTATGTCCGATTTCGACTAGTGTTTCGAAAAGTTTTCTCTCGGTGTCCTCTTTTGTGTTAACGGCATCACCGATTACAGTGGATTAAAGACAAGACAGTCGAACGGTTAAAACGAATCCTTTATTTATCTTCAGTCGCCATTACAGGAAGAGAGTAGGGCAAAAGAGGCAGGGAGCAAGTAGTAAGAGGTAAGAGAAGCGGAAGGGGGTTGTTGGAGGCAAGGGGGCGTTTATCTGTCATAATAGAGCAGGGGTGGCGGTATTAGCTTAGAATTACAACACATTCTATTCCTTGAATTATGTTTTGATGGTTGTATGAATTCGACATAATGAATTTTTGATCGTTGTATTCTCGGCATAATTTTTAATGATTGTATTCTCAAAATAATGAATTTTTTGATAGTTGTGGGCTAGTAACCGATATTATAAATAGATGTAAAGTAAACACGATTTTTTGTGGACCGGAAGAAAGTTTTATTCCAACTGCACATGTCCGTTCTCAACTACAAGTAAGAGTTCTGTACCTTGGATCAGTACAACAATGCACTAATACGACACCTTCTCTTTTTAGTCAAATACAATAACAAGGCAACTTAAAAGAACACACATTTTACTAACAGTTTTATTAAGTCTAATTTTCTTTTTTCATTTAACTTTGCCTATAGTCAGGATTCAGGAGAGTGTCCATAGAAGTTGGAATGGATATTAATTCTACCAGACAACAAAGGTATATAACTGTGCAAGCAGTTTTTCCAAAAAATAATTCTACTTACCAGTAAAAGAAGGATTTTTTCCGAGTTCTAATTGAAGTTCCTGGTCTTCTGTTGCAATACTGTGATAGCGAATTGAAATGACACACTAAATAATTAATATTATCCATAGTCAAGTGAAAGGTTTGTATAAACACAAACACTACAGGCTCATGTTTCGAGTCTAAACGTAACTACGATAATATCAATGTTATGAATAATCAAGAGTGGGCTCCCATTGTTTCGTTACTTTCCTCTTTGAGAGAGCTATTTCTGTTTACTTGGACTATAAAAGGACACTATACGCGAACCTTGTAATCTCAGTTGAATAAAACTTTCTTAAAGCCTACTCCTGAGTACTTTTGTCATTACAATCAACAGCACTCATCTGGTCCTAGACGTCAAACAATTCTTGAAGTTCTAAGATGACATATTTCCTGTAAATTGGCAACTCCGTTCACTATGCAATGAAGCGCTGTCTTCAAGCTTACATTGTTTTATGATTTGGTTCAACTTCTCATCCTAAACTAGCCAAGAGGATGTCACCATGTTGACATGAAAGTGTATATCTTCCTCGCTTTGATGACTCTCTGTAGGCAGTAGGACTCCATGACACGGTATCTGACGTGACAATCGTTTTTCCAGGTCGATGCTCGGCGATCGGCTTGTAGCGCCTCATTCGAATAAGCATGCGCTGATATCTCACTGTTGTTTCTGACATATCTTTAGAGTTGATGAGTGGAACGAGTAAATTGTGGCCACTATAGTGAGTAAAGCTGGTGAACTGTCAGCTTCGACTATTCTTTTGCCTAGTCGGAACGAAGTAGACAAGGACCGGTTTCCTTTTCCGAAACGCTGTGACTTGCTGTGAACTCCACGTCCATACTGTCTCATTGCTCAGCAGAACGGCTTCCGAACATTAAGCAGATGAAGAAAATGTGGTTAACCTCCATTTTTGAAACAGTTTTCCAAGTGCTAGACATTTTCCTTTTGGGTGAAATGTCCCACACCTGTCACAGGTATTCTGCCGGTCATTTGTAATTCGTGACTGACGCTGATCCTTGCTCTTGCTTGAATGCTAAGAGCTAGTATTGTACCCTTAGTGCACCCTGTCAACACAGTTATGGCCTGTAAACATCTGTGCTGTTCAAGCTGTAGCTTCACTGCTTCGTGCTGGAGAGCAGTAGCCATAGTTGTCTTAAGTGTGAAATCAAACTGAAGCTGGAGCTTTTCAGAGAGTTCTTGATGCCCAACTCTAACTTCTCCCCAATGTGTCCTTCGTCAATTCATAAAGAGCAGTGATATATCTTTCTACGGTTTCTTTCGATCTCTGGTCACTCTTATGAAATTGTGCATGAACGTAAATTACGTTACGTCGGGGGTAGGAAATGTTCGTTGAACTTTCGGAGCACTGTTCCATCTTTCTTTCTTGTTCAGTCAGTAGAAAAGATCTGGAAAATCCTGTCTCTGGATCCATCGCATATAGAAAGAAACTAACTTGTATATTATATTGTATTCTGCAACTTTGTACTCACGGCAACTCCGACCACGCGGTAATCGTCTATCGCTCTCCTATCAGGTAAGACTGCTCTATTCACTGAACATCTTTCTGTTATTAACGCACTGATTGGGACTCATTTCTTGATTTCTTTTGCGATAACCCTTTGGATTGATATTTTTAATCATCTTGAGAAATTTGCAACTGAGGTTTCTTCCTAGGTGAGAGCCGACATCGAAGTTTTCGCTCCACCATGGAAATACCAAGTGAAAACACAATACTGTTCTTGGTAGTCTCCTCTCTGTTCAGCCGCTATAGCCCATAGGAATCACTTCTTCCGGTTATACCAGAGCGACATATCCGATTGTAACAGACATCTCTTTGTCCCCATGCATGTGCTCAAAGAGCTCAAGTCATTATTCACTGATAGAATGCAACACCATATAGCTTCTAACAAGTTTGGTTCTAGAGTCTACTGGCAGCTCTGCAAGAGTTTAATGAACAAAGGTAATTCCTCAGTCCATCGTTTCTTCAATCACTTGTTTTGTCATCTACTGCAGATAAAGCGGAGCGCTTTGTCCGGAAATTCTCTTCTAACTCCACTCTCGACTCATATGGAGTATCTTTGCCTGATTTTCCTCCGGAACAGCGTTACTATTAAGTGATACGTATATAACTCCGTTGATGTTTTCCGCTATCATTTCTAAGCTAAATTTACACATGGCTTGCGGATTCGATGGTATCCCTGCCAAAGAAATGTGCTCCTGAACTGGATCCTGTTCTCTCCAGACCTTACAATAAATATTTTGCTACCTATTGCTTTCTGGGGACTGACTCATCAAATTAACGCCCTATTAGCCTCTTACTTCTATTTGGCAAAATAAATCGAAATTCTAATAAACACTGAATTGATTAAGCTTCTTAATTCACGACCTCGTTTTGGATAAACAATATGGCTTCCATTCTGTCAGGTCTACCGCCGATGTGTTAACAGCCATCACTAAAATTATCTATCTACCTCAAGGGCATTCGATAAGGTTTGTCATGCTGGCCTTCTCCATAAGCTCAAGGACTACGGTATATCTGGACGAATAATTGGCCTAATCCAGTCGTTCCTAGCAAATCGTGTAGTTCATTTCATATTAATTCAGCGCCCACATCCATTGCTTTATATTCGGACATGCACTGTTTCTGATTTTCAACGACCTTTCCGATGCCATAATTTTTCAGCTAGTTATCTATGCAGATGATACAGCAATCTACTCCTGTCTTGACAAGTCCGATAGGCCCGACAAAGTAGATCTGGCAGCTGTATTCGATAAAGACCTCCAATCAGTGGTTAACCGAGGCAAGGAATGGTTTATAAATTTTAACGCACCAAAATAAAACTGCTTTCATTTAATCACCAAAAAAGAAATTTTTTTCAGCATGACGGACGCTAAACTCCAGGAGAGCAACACTTCTTGGATTCGCGTTTTCCACTGACATGAAGGGGAGTGAATCAATTGCTATGTCTACTGCTAGGAAAGTTGGTTAACTGTATCGTGCCAGATAATTCTTCTCGTCAGAATACATCTAGCACATTTATAAATAAGTCATTCGTCCGTACATTGAATACGGCTGCCATATTTGGAATGGTGCCTCAACTGTATATCTCTAGATTCTTGACAAAACTCAAAGAAGGGTCTGTAATGAAATCGGTCCTGACCTGGCATCTCGTCATTTTCTCACTGTCATGACGTGAATTACCTCTGTCTTTTCTGCAAATATTTTCATAGCAATTGTTCTAATGAGCTGTTCTCCTTAGTTCCTTGACTGCATGAATTTAAGTGTACTTCTAGATTGGCAATTATGTCTCACCGTTTTACTGTTGAACTAGCTAGATGCAGCCATAATAGAGTTTCTTTTCTCGTTTGTGGAATTCCCTTCTGATTTCCTGCTTCCATGTCACTTACGATCTTCAAAATTTAAATGTAACACCAATTGCCATTTTCTGTCTTACTGAAACATGACCCAGTGCACATGTTAGTACTTCATATGTCCATTCAATGAAGTCGTTCCTTGCAGATTGGCTACAGATTCTCGATTGGATTTAAATCAGGAGAGTTTCCGGGTCAATCTATAGTACTTTGATTTGCTCACTGGTAACGCTTGTCAGTGTGTTCATGCAGCGTTACAATTTTCGTACGCTTCCTTGGAATTACGTCCATTGCAGACAATCGCCGTAGGACAACTAATCGACGGTCGAGACAATATTTCTGTGCATGATAAAAATTTGATGCAATCATGGATGACGCAATATTTTTAAAGGCCAAACAAATTTCATCATACACCCCCAAAATAGATTCGTATTACTACACACTAGTGCAAATGACTTAATCTGAGGAAAAAATAGGAATCGATTACACCCTGTCACTCCAGTGGGTCTAAAACTGACTGTATGGTGAAAGAAAGGAAACTAAAGTGGTTGTCTCAATTAAGTTGCACAAGGGTGTACATCTATTATTCATATAATGGCGAAAATAATAATTGTGCTTTCCTGAGATAAACATTCTGTTAATTTCTTTTATATCAATGCTATTAAAACGGAGAGAAACTCAGCAAGAGTTCTCTCCCCTGGTTCAATTCTAAAATACGACAGTTGTGCCATTTTGCAATATAAAGAAATTTTCTGACGTCAAGAGATGATATATTTTTGTCCGCTTCCTCGTGTTTACGCCAACATGGTGGAATATGTCGTAACGTTTAGGTTGTTTCGTTTACAAAAAAAAATAAAAATAAAAATAATAAAGTACGCCACGAAGATCTGATGGAACTGCTCGGCAGCCTTGATATATTTGGCAAAGACAATAGAATAATCAAGAACCTATACTGGCATTAAACGGTATGCATTCGCATAGAGAATGACTTCAGCAGATATATAAAAATAGAAAGAGGCGTAAGGCAAGGATGTGTCTTCTCACCGGACCTATTCAAACAGCAATTCTGAATGAACTGGAAATCCTACCAGGATTCATCATAGGCGGCCACAATCTTAACAACATTAGGTACGCAGATGACACAGTGGTGATAGCAAACGCAGAAAGGAAATTACAAAACCTCCTACAGAAGGCAGCCAAGGAGAGCGAGAAGAAGGGACTAATCATAAACTACAAGAAGACGGAATGCATGGTCATCAGTAAGAGGATGAGCCTGAAATGCGATTTACAGGTCGGGGACTCTAAAATCAAGCAGGTGCGGAAATTTAAATATCTGAGAAGTGTTTTGACAGAGGACAGTAAGTGCTGGGATGGCCAAAGACGCATTCCAAAAGTTAGACAGAGTATTAAGAGAGAGAAGGATATCTTTGGTAACAAAAAATGAGTCCTGAACTGATATATGATATTTGTCCTCCTTTACGGTGGCGAATATTAGACGATCTCTTCAAAGATGAAGAAAAGACTCGAGGCAACGGATGTATGGTTCTACAGAAGGATACTCAGAATATCATCGACTGAAGATGGAGGTTTTGGAGGGGATGCAAACAATAGGGAAGCTTATACTTAACATCAGGAAGAGGCAGCTGAAATTTCTGGGACACGTAATGAGAAAGGAGGGTTTGGAGAATGTGATACACACAGGGACGATAGATGAAAAGAGAGACAAGAGAAAGCAATGCGTGACATACCTAGTGGGCTTAAGCAAGTGGATGAGGAAACATGGTTTGGAATAGGTGGCAAAGGGACAAAGCATATTGAGAACTACAAGGGATAGGGGGAAGTGAAGATCCATGATCGCCTACGTCCTGAAGGGACTGCACGTAAAAGAAGAAGAACCTCTCGAGAAATCCTACATATTCTTGAAACATACAATGTCTTTTGATGGTTCTCGCTCTGTTGACTGCTGGTTTGTCGGCTTCTTCTCAGTTTTGTGTTTCAGCTCATCATAACCAGTAACTAATAATCGTGTACATCCGGGCTTATTTCAAGATCAAGTGATCACAATTAAAACGGTTAAATCAGTTTTGGGCAGTACATTAAAATGGTGTTTCATTTTCTTGAACTTGTCGAATTCTGTGAGGTCCAGTTTAAAATAATGACTGAAAAATGACAGAATTTCACTGCTTGTATCCACCATTATAACATCTAATACAATGAGTACGATTGAACTATACCACTACTACTACCACCACAACTGCCACCACCACTACTATC